CAGCCCACTGCGCAATCCTCCAATCAAGCTCTGAGGTAAAAGGTAGAAATCGCGGGTCTGGCACATTTGAAGGGTCAGACATCTGAATGTCGCCGTCTTTATCTGCTTGTTGGCTTGAGGGTTGAGCCTTTCGAACAATTCTGCCAGCTAAGAGGTCAATATCAGTGACCCGTTTGTCATCCAGGTCATCGAGGACAAATCTTGCAGCCTTGGCTCTGTTGGCTGCAGTCTGAGGGCCGGGGCCCTGAGCGCCGATGGGCTGAATTTCCGGGATAAAGTGGAATTCGTCGAGAGCTTCCTCAAGATAGCTGAAGTCAAGGTCTGGGTCATCAAGAGGGTCATACTCCGCCCATGGATCTACTGGAGCTGAAGGAATGTCCTCCTGCTCTAATGAGTCAGTTGGATCCTCATCAAGGGCATCAAGAGTCTCCTCCATGAACCACATGCATTGCGGAGCTCGCGCAAGATGGGCATGAAGATTTGCCGGCGACTTGAAGCGACGGTTGCAGGACGCAGGGCAGAAGTAGCTCATGGAAGGCAGTGGAAGGGTACGACGTGTATTGATCATACGTTCTGTATGTCAGGGTATATGAATATCATGATGATTAGTCAGCATAATAGGGCAAGTAGTAAGAATCTAAAATGGTCTCTACCATGACAGCCTCCCAGGCTTTGCTTGACGTCCAAGCTCGGTCTCCAGACACTCTTTGTCTCTGTTGAAGCAGTTCTCCTTGTTTTTGTGCAACGTTGCAATAGCTCTGTCATGGGTGGCAGAGACAACACCTAGTCTTCCGGGTAAATGTTTGCTACAGAGCATGTGTACTGAGAGAAAAACAGCATTAGAATGTGTAAAAAATGACAGGGAATCAATACCTTTTACACTAAACAAGCAGATATGCTTCCATATACGCGTTGGGCGCAGTCTTAGATAGAGAATGGCGCACCGGGTAACCGCTGGGTACTTTGGGGGCTACCCATACCCTTACCCATGGCCGGGTTCATCATGCGGGTTGACAATGAAGCGGTGTTAAATTGGTATGTACATAAGGCAGGTTGCCTCGCAAGAGCATCGCCGAGCATCAAATGACGTCGCGATGAACAGTTGCGAGGGTGGAGCACTCAATGCAGTCTGCGGTACGAGTTTGTCCTTGTGGGTTGTACGCGTGTTGTCCTATACGCGAAACGGTAGGGTGTTGAGTCGTGGCACGTAAATGATGGCAATGCCATCGAGTGCAAGGTGGAGGGCAACTGGGCGACGGTGGGGTCCGGGTGCACAAACAATAGTGGCGGCTCGGATGCCCATTTGCTTGTCGTTGGGCTCACGTTCATGGTGTGTCGCCGTGTCGCCGCAATGTGCCACACCAGAGTCGCAGCAGCGGGACATTGTCTTTGTCAACCTCGCTGGTGTTCGCATGCAACAGTGAGGTGGTGGGTGGCCAGCGCAGCCGTGGGTTGTGTGGAATGGTTCTGAGCCTTGTTGGGCATCCAATTCGCCGAGCTCTGGGCAGACGTAAGAATATTCACGGTGCATGCTTGTAGCCTTCAATCTAAGTCTCTTCCTGGGCAAGTGTCCACCGACGAAATAGACATGGAGTGTCTAGCCTGGGAGACAAGATGTAGGTCAGCGAGATTGAGACAAGCATCAGCATAAACCTATCACTCACATGCTTCCTACTCCTCCCACCACTCCTCGCACTGAGAATACTTTGGGCCCTTCCATCTTCTCCTTCTGTCTCCTCTGCTTCTTTTCCTACTTGAGCATCATTAACATCTATCCCGGCACCACCTTCAATTTTCCCTTTGGCTCCTTCAGCCGGTCGTAGTCCCAGACGGTTCTTGAGTACCTGTATCTCGTATTCACCCTTGTCATATACGCATTTCGTTTCCACAGGGTCGTTGTTGCTTCTATCAGGCTGTTGTGCAGTAATCTGTTCTCTCTTGTGGGCATCACCAGCCGAGTGTGCGAAATACGGGAGCCGCGCAATGATGGCCTTCGGCACAGGAGTTTGAAGGCATGCAGATAAGTAGGTTGATGGGCAGCCTTGGTCGCAACCGCTGCGGATAGTGTTTCGAGCATCTCGAGTAAGGGATGAGCCGCGCGTAGATTGCTCTAATCACATCCTGCTTATGGACATGAGACTGATCATATATCAC